GCTGCGCGTTCCCAGATACGGCGCTATCCTGGAATTTCTGAACTTTGCTCTACTACTCACGATGTTCCTTCTCTGCCTATCGAGTGAGTCGTCGTGGCTCAACAAGCGATACGTGCGCATATACTCATACCTAACCTCAGATCGAGAGGTGGGGAGGATGAATGCATTCGAAATTGTCTTCATAGTGTTCGCTGCAGCGTTCACTCTTGAGGAGTACACAGCATCGAAGGAGCACGGGTGGGGAAGTGAGTCTATTCGGCCAACAGAGTGCTAGTACTGTATGCTCATAGGCTCTCCCCCAGTCTATATGGCAAGCGTAAGCAAATCTACTAGTCAAGCTAGCTGTAATGTCCAATTTTGCACTTGTAGATGTGGAACGTCTTCGACACATCATTTGTCGCCGTGGTTTTCGCGTACTTGGGATTCAGGATCGAAGGTCTTGTCTATCATGATGGTATGTTTTCTGCTTTCCGTTAGGCCCATTTATCTATCGACGTCTTTAGCGGATGCGTCTGAGATGGGGTTCGACATATTGGCCTGTGGTGCATGTATCCTGTTCCCTCGGTGAGGATCAAGGTTTCGTAGATGCCTCTCTTTGCCACTGCTGATCGTCGATTGTAGCCTGGCATTCTTTGCCGTCTCAAACAACGTAGTGGTACTGTGAGGCATACATGCCTTAGTGTGATCTGCCGCTCATAACTGTATCAGCGCACTACGGGCTATGATCGCGGATTTTATCTTCTTCGTGGGTATTGCGGGTATATGCTTCTCCGGGCTGCTCTTCACACTACACAGCCTAGGTATACGATTCCACCGAAGTCCTCTGCGACCTCTCCCAGTTGACATATTCATGTAGCTGACGACAAATGGAGCGTCAAGGCCATCACTTGGCTCATGGTGCAGATCTGGTTCGGCAACACGTACCTCAGCTTTGCCCAAGCCGAAAGTTTCCACCCAATATTCGGCCCGATCCTCATGACAATGTTCGCTGCTTTATCAAACACGCTGCTGCTCACGAGTGAGTGCAAATTAATGCTTGTGCGCATGATCTGACTTAGCCGGTAAACCCAGTTTTGATCTCCATCCTTTCAAACACGTTCGCGCAGATCGATGCAGTAAGTACCAATGGTCCTGGTTGGAGTCAAGCTTACATAGTTCTGGCAGAACGCCAAGCAGGAGGTAAGAAAATGTCTAGCAGACCACTGGAAACAGCTGAATGGCACTGTCGGCAGTATTTATTCCAATACGCGATTACAACTATTGAGGGGTGAGGCCGAGCAGTCTGCACGTCGCGCCGCAAAGCCTATGCTGACCATGCAAGCCCAGAGTCAAGTCGGACGCCCTCTTCAGCTACCAGCCGCCTTTCAATCTGCTCGCTTTCGCCATTCTCTGGCCAATGAGCTTCGTTGTATCTCCGCGGAAATTACACTCCGCGAACGTTTTGCTGATTAAGCTGACGGTAGGACGCACTGTTCTGCGGATGTCTACATGGCTAATGCAAAATAGTCTTTCCCCTTCTTGGTCATCATCGGTATCTACGAGAGGTACCTCGCGCAGCGTCAGACATGGCGAGACGGTAGCTTCGATCAGAGCTTCTACTCACGCCTCGCGCGTAACATAAAGAAGATACCTCTGTTCGACCTGCTTGGCTCCAGTTCCACTGACGTCTACGATGCAATATTCGACGTTGAGGTACACGAAACAAGCCTCTTCGACGACTCCGATGACGAACGACAACGCGAGCACATCTTCGGGCCTACTAGTGGCGGCGCACCAATCTCCTTCCCTTCGCGCGACAGCTTGCGGCCCTTGCCGTCTCCTACGCGCCCATCTACTACGCGGCCGCCGTCGGGTCACCCAGAGCCAGAGACTCCTCGCCAGAACCGGCGCACAAGCCTGTCGCGCTCACCAGCCATGGGCAGGAGTCGCAGCGCCCGCGAGGGCGTATCGCCCAGTGTGTCCCCACGTCCGCGGAAGATCACCCTACCCGCCATAGTGGGGTCGAGTTCCGGGGAGATGCAAACGACGGGGCCGCGTAGCCCATTGAGTAGGTTGTACAGCACCCGGGCTAACGGCTCTGCTAGCCAAGTGGAGCGCGTGAGCTCTGCTGCCGCCGGGATGGACGCGAGCATCCGCAAGCTGGAGGCAATGATCGAGGACGTGCGAGGCTTGCCCGTGAACAAGCTCAAGGATGAAATGAAGGAGCTGCAGGTGCGTAGACAAGGTCCTAATCCCCTTGTATCTACGACGACGGACCTTTCTCGCAGGATCGTCAAGCCCGGATTGAGAATTTGCTACTGATGCTCACGAGAGGCATGCGGAACGAGAGCACATAAGCTATCAATATATCACCATTCTCCCAGACACGAGATGTTATGACGTACTTGCGTGTACCCAAAAGGTAACCCTTGTTTCAATCAGTGTGCCATTATGCCAACTATTATACCTACAATGATAGAGTAGGAAGAACCCCAAGCAATCTATCCTAATCCAAGCCATGAGGCAGCGCTGGAGAATGCAGCGAAGCGACGAAGCAAAGCATCCATGAGACGGAGAACAAAGCACGGACAAGGACTGGGTTGCAAGTTGAGATGTGAGCATGGTGGTGATACAGTGGGTGTTGGCGAGTCGCCCAGTACAAAGTAACCAAGTCCCGGAAATGGAGTGCTGGGTGCAATGGAATGGGCCAAGCCAGCAAGCCGGGTAACTACGACGATAATGGGGTGTCACGCCGATGTGAAAGCAGGTGAGGGCGTGGCTATGATACAGCAGAGAAGAGGAGGCTCAAGCCAAGCGTGTAAAGGATGAAAGACAAGGCGGCTTGCGCGCCTGGCACTGGGCAGCAACGACAGGACCAGCTGCTAGAGCGAAAGGGGAAGACTAGGCGCCGCGCCCGGGCTATTGCGAGGGCTGGCGTTCAGAGAGAGTGACGGCGGGCATAGGATACGGCGTTTCGCGTCCGGATGGGTCATGCTCCTCAAACGGAGTGCCCGGTCGCGAGCGCTCAACAATAGTAGCAGTTGGCTGCACTGTGTTCGTAGCCGACTGGTTGACCAACACAGGTTCCGCATCATCTTCGTGCCCTGCACTCGTGATCGGTTGATTATGGGGGTAGTACGACATCCGCCGGTTCTTCGTGAAGTCGTATACCGTGAACCTGCACGCAAGACAAGTGAGCTATATGGAGGCACAGGAGAACTCGTGGTGACGCACTGCTCTTCAAGCTGTCGCAGTTCGGGCTTCATCTTCTCGAGGTCGGGATTCGCTTTGCGCTTGGAGTGTGTGAGTGGTTTCTCTACCATCAGAAACTCATCTAATTCGTGCGACACGTCAAAGTTGGCTTTGCTGATCTGTGATGTAGGCCGTCAGCCTTCCCGGCGACCTGCAGTGGGCGCGGTGGAGACGCACATCAGGCACAAAAGGAGGCTGTGCATCCTTTTGCTCGAGAGCGTCCCAATCGATGGACGCAAACCATGGGTGCTCCCTGATGTCGGCAATATCGCGGCTCTTGCCCCTACACCCAAGACGCGTCTTGGGGTTTCTATCCAAGAACTACCAGTAGACGGTGTCAGCATTGACAGGCGTCAGACAGCCACTGGAAGGTGGCGTGATCAGCATACTTACCCCGCGCAGGGCGTCTTGACCCACTGCACTGCAAAACTCATTGGCCTTGCTGGGAAATCTGAGAGCGTCCTTCATGATGGAGTGCTTCATCTTGTCAGCGGTACGCCCATCAAAGGGACGCTTATGAAACAGTAGTTCCCAGGCAACCACCCCAAGACTCCACCAGTCCACGGACCAAGTGTAGCCCTTGTGCCCGATAACTTCTGGTGCCATGTAGGCCATGCTCCCCGCGACGCTTGTATGCAACCGTCGTTCGGAGTAGTGAATGGCGACATTAAAGTCTGTAACATGAACATGACCCATGGAATCAAGTAACACGTTATCGGGCTTGATGTCTCTGTGCAGGCAAGTTCAGATGCGGTGCGCAGGTGACCGAGTTGGACACACCTGTGGACGATGCGTTGTCTGTGGAGGTATGACAGCGCAGACGATAGCTCTGCTGTCCAAAACCGTACGACATCCTCTGGAATGCGAACCAGTCGATCCAGGTGGACTGTACCGTAGCCGTGTCAGAGGGAATACAGGCAACATCCGAACATACGTACACCGTAAGTCGCCGCCCAACATAAGGTCCAGCACGAAGAAACAATTCTCGTCGTCCTGGAAGGCATATCGTAGATTGACTACAAAAGGGTGGTCAATCTGAGCTGCAGGTCAGTCGATGCTAAGGAGTCACGGTGAGAACGCACCTCCTCCAGCAACCTCCGCTCCTGTACGATGTTCGCGACCGCCTTTTGCTTAATGCACTTTGCCTTGTCAATGTACTTGAGGGCATAAAGCTTCTTCGTCTTCTTGTGCTCCACGACGCGAACCTGGCGTGTGATACCTTCAGTACGCGTCGCCAACGCGGTGTGCGACGGTAGAGGCGTACCTTGCCAAACGCCCCTTTGCCAACGGCGCGGAGGAGGTCGAAGTGGTAGAGGTCGACCTCACCGTCAAGGTCGACGGGGTCAGAGCAGCAGCAAAGCGCGGCGCCCATGAGACCTGAATGATAGTGGGGGATAGGGAGCAGAGGGCAGAGACAACTTATGTCTCAGAGAACAAGACAGGCCAAAGCCGTGAACGGAAACAAGGCCAGATATACCCTTAAACGCCCATAGTACAGCGCTCGGCAGAAGCATCTCAAATTGAAGAAGCACCCAGCTCGTTCCTAGTATACCGCCTCTGTACCCTCCGAGCCTCGAGCGAATCGCACGGCGGCGGTAGTAAGTGTGGTAGTTCATGCATATGTCTGGTCGTAGTCCTTCCCAGAATATGTGACTGAGTGAGGCACTCAGTGCTTTAGTCGTCGTAGGGCCAGGTCGCGGCACAGGAATATTTCTTATCCTTTCCAAAATCAAGCACATTGATATTATAATTGTCTGCTCACAGAGCGTGGCTTTGTAGTGTAGCGGTTATCACAGCGGATTCTGATTGTGATCGGTACGGTCGAGATTTCCGTTAACCCAGGTTCGATTCCTGGCAAGGCCTTCCCTTTTCTTCCGCTTATCTATACTTATGTATTGTACATTCCTTACGTAAACGGAAACCGGACGTTAGGTAAATTGTGGTGCCAGTACGACTCGGAGGGACCCGTGGAATTCACATCCAAGACGTCGCCCAACGTTACATTCCGGGGTTCTCTATTGTTAGCCCAGTAGTGTATCATGGATCGGAAATAGGTCCTTCGACATCAGCTCGCTCTACTATGACGGTGATGCCGCTACGCCGCCAGCCCAGGCAGTTCGATCGAGATACCCATCCGCTGAGGTCTGAACTCTGCATAAGTATATCATGTCACAGCAATACGGGACACCAGCAACATCATGTAACAGTAACACTGGCGCACCATATTGTAGGACAATAAGACAGCCGGTCCACCCAAAGCCCAGCCCAGCAACTTCCGCATTTGTATATGAACAGTGGCACTGCGGGCGACGAGTGAATTGACCGATATTTCCCTTTGAATCTGAAAAGAAGGGTGTCAGCCTTCCGTGTAGTGCAGCAGTGACTGGAACATTCCTTTTAAGCGGCAGATCCATGGTTCGGTGAGGGGCGAACAATCCTGTGAATTAACTGACGATCAGCATATGATCTTATTGTCGTGATAGGCAACGCAGCAGCTGCGACATGCTTGGGCAGAAGTCAGGGATAACGATTCGTAGGAGACACGCTTACAGCTGATGGTTACGATTAGGCACAACGGATCCATGTGGTATTAGGTGTCGAGCACGTAAATTAAACAACTCAGTCGACAACAGAAAAGGATGACCAACGAACTATACTGGGCCCTATTCCGTCATCTCCCTCAGTCTCAACACGATATTTGCGCCTAACGCGCCGATCAAGAACATCGACAAGATCGTCGGCCCATACTTGTCGTAGTAGAGCCCCTCCGCACGCCTCCAGCGCAGCTTCAGCGCACGGTACACGAAGATGACCGCCGAGTACGCAATCGCCACGAGCGCTGCGAGCGTGAACAACCCCGCGCTGATCAACCCGACCTTGTCGCCCGGAGGCACAAAGTTGAGCAGCGTCGTGGCAATCGTCCCGATGTATATTGCAAAGTGCAGCCATTTCTGACACCAGAAGAGCATGAGCGACCGAACAAGGAGGAGAGACAATGCACTCACAAGGAACGTCCGCTCAGCCGCGAAGTACACCTTCGGTTCGATTCTCACCGGCACCGCGATCCGCTTGCCAGGTGGGGCAACCCACCGCCTCTCCAGCACGCGCTCATCGCTCTGGCTGCGCGCAGCGCCTGACGTGCTAAGTGCTGCATCCCGCTCCTCGTCCTCCTCTTCCTCCTCTTCCACCGCCTGCTCCGCGCTCTTCTGGCGCTGCTCCTCGCGCAAGCGATCCCTGAGTGTCTCGTCGAACGCGGAAGACGGTGCGAGCGGGTCAATCGACAGAGTGCGCCCCCGCTCTACAAGCTTCGTCTTGGACGCCTTGCGCCCGCGCAGGAACGGAGTCCGCTCGTCTACCTCTCCCTCGTCGTCGCCTTCGTCCGCATGGTCGTCCGGTCCGTTGCCCTCCGCAGCGTGGTCGCGCACGGCAACGGGAGGGAGGCTCTTCCGCTTCGCGGACACGCCCTGTTGCTTGAGCGACTTCTCGCGGAAGGCGATTGCAGCAGCGACGTCTTGACTACTAAGTCCCGTACGCTTGTGCTCGTCGCGCGCTGGAGCGAGATCCATCGCCTCGTCTTCCTCGCCCTCGGACACCGGCTCAGTATACATAGGGTGCATGTCCTCCGGCGTCATAACACCAGACGATTTGCGTCCCGCAGAGAGCTCCGAGGTCCCTTTCGACGAAGAGGACTGCATAGGCCGCTCAATGGTCAGTGCACCTGTGTCAGGCTTGAGGATATCTGTGTCCACTGTGGATGTATGTCAGTTTGATCGTCTTGTCAGTAATGCATGTATTCGCACTTTGAGGCAGCCAGAACGGAACAAGGTCCACACGGTGGGGCAGGAGGGTTGCACATCCATGGATAAACTTGCTGAACTGCACAGGCACTCGTCAACCATCGTACACCTTCCTTACCCGCTTACACAATCACACACCTTCGGGACCGCCTCCACGAGATGCGACGACACGAGATCCGTGACCCACGCCGGCGGCTCCTGACCATACTGCGTCTGCAGCTTGACTTCGAGCACGCCGTACTTAAACAGCTCCTTGTCCTCGGGCGGCAACTGGTCGAACGGGTGGTCGATCCCGATGTCCGTCCGACGCCAATTGGTGCCCGAGCGTATGCGCCCGTCCCAGTTGTCCTCGCGGATCATCGTCAGCTCCGTATCAAGCGATATGCGCACACGCGCGTCACCCGGTAGCTGGAAGGCTGTCCGGTTGTAAAACGTCCGCATCACTGGCGACGTCGGGCGGGCAGAGTCAGTATACGCGGGAGGGTAGGTGTGCTTAGAGAATAGCTTACCCGGCTGGAGCTTCTTCGTCAAGATGGCATACTGTACTTCGTTCGCCAGTTGGATCATAGAATCCACCTCCTGCTGCGTCTTCTTACCCTTCTTGACTAATTCCTGAAACTCCTCATCCATCGTGTACTCTCCACGCAGATAGGCATTGACCAAGTGCTCCTTGATCGGGAACCGCGCCTTTACCGACTTTTCGCCCGTCCAGTCCTCACGGTGGGTCTTTCTCTCGACGAATATCTAGTGAGGTTAGGGGTACGTTGGGTTTGAGCTAGAAGGGAGGTACGCACCGTTTTGACATTCGTATCACCGTACCACCGCAGCCGAACAGCCTCCGCACCCTCTGTTTTCTCAAGACGACCGAGATAGAGTTCAAGGTCCTCATTGTCAAAATACACAGAAGTGATGGCTACAAACTTGTTTCAGACTCCCCGTGAAAGTGTCTTTACAGGTTCGCGAACTCACCTGCGTCCTTCTGCTCGAACTCCTTATCAGGATTGAACACTAGTAACGTTGTCAGCCGCGATATAACTGTGATAGGCAGAAGTGCTATCGCTGCACACCTAATACGGGCAGATGCCTAAGGATTGCCAGTTTGAGGTGAACAAGGTTGTCTGGGTGTACCTAGTCATAGTCAGCGCAATAAACACTACTTCATGCGCTCCAGTGGCCGCATTTACCCACCCAATATTTGGTAGTCTGACGCACGAACGCGCTCTGATTACCGCCTGCACTTGAATCACCCTGCACGGGGTGACCACGAGTGCGGACTAGGTCATATAACTTGGAAAGCTTGACTATTAGGCCATCCCAGTTGTACTTATAGAACGGTCTTCTCTCCAGATACTCTTGAATGAACGTGGGTTTCAGGGGGCGGTTCGTTTGTTTCTGAGCAAAGTTGAGCGGGTCAATAGCATACAACGAGCGGTTGTCAAGAGCACATACATCATGTTTCTGCATGCGCAAGGTGAGTTTGGTATTGTGCAGAATGACATCCAAGACACACCTTCAGGATCTTCATGAAACCAGTAATATTGAGCTTGGTATACAACGCGAGGTCGTGAACGTCAGCAACCAACGTAGCAACCTCTTCCTCAAGTACCAGGAACTGGTCCTCCATTGCATCAACCGACATGGCCGTGCTGTCCTCGTCGTCCGTATCGTCATCGTCGGAGCCGGCATCCTGAATGGCAGACGGCTCCCGCTGTCGACCTTCTGGGTCTGACGAAGAGCTAGGCTCTGAATGATGATTCTCAGAATGCTCGCTCGCAACCAGACGTTTGACAGCTCTCTCTGCGTCCTTAATCCGTTTTGAGAGCTCAGAGGTCTACAAGGCGGTCATGGGCGGTTAAGCAGAGTATATGCGCTGAGGCCCTACCTTGGACTTCTGAAAATCATGGATCTTGTCCAGCTCCTTCTCCAGCATGGCAGTGAAGTCGCGCTCATCATCATCGCTCCAAGCATGAGCGGTTGTGCGTTCCTGCATGAAGCGCATGAGCTGATGGGCGTCCATGGATGATGCCAGAGAAAGCGCCTCACCTTCAGCTCTCTTTTGAGTAGATTGTAGTTGATGTAGAACGGTCTCCACTCGTTATAGAGGTCATTCTGCACCGGTGCTCAGCGCGCTGACCGACGGGACAAACGAAGAAAGGAGCACTAACGCTGATTTTGCGGCCAAACTTCATGGCAGGAGGGAGGGAGGGCGGTCGTGTGCAGGCCCTGCATGACGGGGAGGAATATAATCAGAGACCGGTCCTGACAGCCAATGCGGTTACGAACGTGCGAGTGTGCTTCTTGAAGTTCCTACCATCCCGCTAAGGCGTCATGCCCTCTACAAGCGCCCGCACACACCGCCAGTATTGTCCCCGCCCGCGCTGGCCCACGGGCCATCGGTTCCTCACCTGCGGCCCCGACCATCCTGCCCCTAACGGCGGCCCTCCGCCCACTGCTCATTGCTCAACATGCGCACCGAGTACGGATCGACGGCAAGGACGTCCTCCCAGACGAATGGTCATCGGGCCAAGGGCAACGTGATGCGCACCAAGATGCTCCTCCTCGGCATGCGCAGGTATGTTCCTGGTCCTACGCCCTGGAACGTGCGATGCTCAATGTGTACCCGTAAAGGAGCGGAAAGACGTCCATCCAGGAGGTGCTGTTCAATAACCTCCCTGCAAAACAAACATTCTACCTCGAACGCACGACCCGAATTACGGAGCATCTGTACGAGTGCGTGTAGTCCTCCTACCTGACTGTATGCGCATATACTTACTCTTACTCGCCTTACCAGCACAGTCATACCCCTCGAGATATGGGATTGTCCAGGAGACATGCACCTGGACCAAATGGACGTGCCGCTGTCACAGTTCGCTACCCTTATCTTTGTTATTGATATCCAGGTGCGAGCCTTCGTCCTCATGTTAGCGCTACCCACTTTACTCAACGAGGGATAGCACCTAAACCAACCCCCCATAACCAAGCTCGTGACGATGATTATCTCGGCGTACAACGAAAGTCCTCGCATCAACCTGGAGGTCTTCGTGCACAAGGCTGATACGCTCTCCG